GACACTATCCATGTTCCCATATGTTCGTTGTAATGTCTGAATGCGGTGACAATCCATTCGAGTACGTTGATCTAGTATATAGGCTTCCTGTATACATGAGGGTTTGGGAAACTAAATTCAATCCAATACCGCATCAAGATTATTGGGCTGATCCGCAGTGGACTTTAATGCCTAATGTACTGCGTCTGTGAGAAGTAAAATGGGGTCGTGCATCTATGTCTCGTATTCCGAATGAGATGGACATATCAGATAGGCGTTTGACCGCTCGTTGCAGTGAGTGCCAGCAGACAGGTCATGACAGGCGAACATGTCCGGTGCGACTTGGTCGATGAAGATTATGTAATACTTACATATTGTAATAGATCATTTTTTAATTCTTTATTTGTAATAGATCATTTTATTCTTTATATTGTAATTCATTATTTATAAACGGGGTTGTACATTTAAATATATCATGTTTTTTTTGTAATAGATCATTTCTATTTTTTAATTCTTTATATATTGTAATTGTTTGATTTCCTTGACAAAATTTACAACTAACATATTAAACAAATAAATTAAACTAAATGACAATGCAAAAATATTTAACTATACCACATATGCCTATGTTTTTTATTCTCTACTTGATTAAAAATGTCTATTACAAAATTTTAGTTAAAATCACATAGTTCTTCTACCATTTTAAGATTTTAATATTTCGATTGATGCAAGCATTTTTTACATTTACAATTTATGAATCAGATGTACGTAATTTATAAATTTTATACTTTATTGGAAAAAAAAACCATTACAAAATCAATAATGAAGTTTTGTCAAATATGCCATAAATGTAATGAAGTTTTGTCAAATATGCCAAAATCAGTAATGAAGTTTTGTCAAATATGCCAAAATCAATAATGAAGTTTTGGAAAAAAAAATTCTCATTCCATTTTTTCGCAAATATTTATGTACAAAAACTATCCACATGTTACTGGTCATTATTAAGCTTATGTAATTGAGACCCTAAAATGATTTTGTAAAAGATTTTTATATTAGTTATAGCATAGATAACGATAGGTTCTGCTGAATTGCTTATCATATTTAATGGCACATAATATGCAAAATTTAGATTTTAGTGAATTGCTTCCATGTTAATGGCACACAAATTGATAATTTTAAAATAATCGACCACATTTGTTTTTCAAGTCGTCATGTACGGAATAATTTGAGTTTAATTTTTATAGTTAAATTACATGTCCTACATAAGCAGATGTGTTTATTTAATCTGTTTGTAATTAAATGTATCTGCTGCTACTGGTAAATGTCAATGTCCTATATTGGTTTTTTCTCTCTGAATCAATTAATGTTAATATCTAGCCTCGTGTGATTTATTCTGCTGCATCACATAGTATTTGACAATGGAATGGTTGATCAAATGAGTAAATCTGATTATTTTGGTTTCTTGCTTAATTGTCTGTACTATTTTCATTATTGTTTCTCTCTTTAATATTTACCTTTGTAATTGTTTGGAACAGGTGATCTATTTTCTGGGAGGAGCACAGATTGGCATACCATATTAGACATCTTTCGCAGGTGATTGTTGATGTTTCAAATACTCAACCTCTTGGTTTCTTAAAATTTCAGCAGTTATTTTATTTTATTTTATGAACCAATGTATTTTTCTTTCACTTGACAAACTGATGTAGCATTGAGCTGTCCTAGTTCATAGTCCAATAGCTAAATGATTGTTGATGTATTTAGATAAATTTCTTCCTAATTGTCGATGATCCTTAAGTATTTCCTAAGAGGGTGTGTGAATATATTACTTTGATCAGGTTTCAGACTTTGAATGGGCCCGAATGCTCTATTTATCAGGCATCTAAGTCATTGATCAATTTATGTTCTAGAATGTTGATGTATGGAAATATCTGCTGGATGGTTTCAACTTAACATATCAGCATGCTAGGCATATGCATACTACTTATATGTATTGATGAATTACCTTGTGTAGCCATGTTAAAGGTGATAATCTTAGTGTGCTTCACTGTTATTATTTTTCTCCACGCCCATGAACATGACTGGGAGTATTTAACTTCATAGAAACTTCTTTAACTTCGCCCCTTGGATTGTCCAAAATGATCTCTCTAGAGCAACACAAAATCAACATTTTTAGGTATTTCCTTCGATTAATCTCTGGCATGCTTTTTTTTTTTTTTACCTCTCTCTATATATGTTTTTTGTATTTTGCAGCAATTTATGCATATATATTTATTGAAATTGAAAGTATTTATTTTCTGTGCATAATGGAGTTTGATCCATTGGTGATTTATGTATGATTCTGTGTTTTCTACACTAATGTGTTACAAATACTACTCATCTACTTTAATTTAATCTTTTTAGAAATTGTAATGAAATAAGAATTTCTTAGCCTACTTGAGATTGTTTTGGTAGATGCTTAGTTCACATTTTGAATGAGGCAATCAAATTGATACAATATGCTCTCATTAGATTTGAAAATGTTAATTTAATATGGGCAGCTCAAGTTCCATTTGGCATCAGGCACTTCTGTTATATCATGTTATTAGTTTCTACTGAGTTCCCTTTCATTCCTATTTAATTGATGTGCTAATACTTGCCTGATTGTGGAGAGATTTTAATCTGAGTGAAGTACTTACCAGGGAAACATTAAATGTTTTCTTAGAAAATTATTGAATAATGGGTTCTATTGGTTAGGGTTTAGGGGAGTGATATAAATCTGTAGTGGTTTAATGGCTGATAAATGTTTATGAACTTCTTTTGTAATATGGAATGGTGACTTTTCAAATGTTTGATCTTCATTCAATGGAAATTTGCTATTTTTGCAAGTCTATTGGGAACTATGCTCTCATCTTTGTCTCTCTCCCACTCATTTCCATTATGGTTTGATGATAGAGGTATGTTATTTTCCTATGTTACTCGGGTTATGTGTGAAAAGAAATTTTGAACCTACATAAATTTGGTTAATTTACATGATAAATCAATAAATGGTGGTTCGATTCACTGGTAATTGACAGGGTTCTGAATTAGCATTGCAAATTATCCGATTTACTAGTGGATTTTTTAGTTGTATGGACCCGTTTTGATTGCTTGGACATTCATTATGAGCTCTTGTGCTTGCAAGGATGCCATAGCCTCCAGGTTTGCAGTCCTCTGTTGGTTCTCTTGTGATATACTTATCAGGATAATGATGCTAAAATGTCACAGTAATTAAAAATTATGGCACATGCTCTACTTAGTTTTCTAGGAGACTGACTTCAAGCCAGTCCTTGATTGTACTATTGTGACTTGAAACTTGTTTTTATATCAAATATATCCTTGTTTGTGATAGCACATTTGGAAGTGTAGTGCCTGAGAGAATGGTTTCCCTGATTTTTCTCTGTTTTATATGTTTTTTTTCTCGCCTTTTTGGTTTTGGTTCTACTTATACAAGCCCTTTTATATCTTTTAGCTCTATCTCTCTCTCTCTCTCTCTCTCTCTCTCCCCCCCCTCTCCCCTTTGAATGCTACCACAATCGATCAGTTTTTTTAGTAAAGAAAAGAATTGGCATGCTTTTTATAATCCATTTATGCATCTATAATCTCCTTGTAAATTAACACTTGCATCAATGAACAAAACTCTAAGGTGTGTCATGAGCTCAATAATTTGAAGCATAAATGCTTCAATTTAAAGAAAGCAAAAAGAAGCTTTATATCCTTATCAATTTTGCTTTGATAGTGCAGGTGGTACCTTTGCATTGTTCTCCTTACTCTGTTGACATGCAATACTTGGCATTCTGCCCAATCAATAAAACACAGATGAGACGCTGTCTTCATATGCTATAGAAAGATCAGCAAAAACATGGCAAAGTTCTATTATGAAGTCATTCTTCGAGAAGCATCCAAATTTTTTGTTCTCGTTATTGTAAAAAGATTACAAGATTAATGACCTTGGAATGATGGATGATAATAGTTGCAGATGTGCTGCTAACTCTACAACAGTGGCATTGCCTCTTCCATTTCCATTTCTTGAACTCCCCATATATATGACATAAGGCTGCATTATGATATTAACAGCTCTAGGTAGTGATTAAATACAAATTTATTTAGCTTTTGTATGGTGTCTGATAGGGTTATGTGCTTGGACTGTTATTTGAATGCCAAAGTACAGATATAAATTAGTAGAAAATTGACTTGCTTTATTTTTTTTTTTTGTTGTTGGCAGGATGAAAATCGGGCAGCTTGGATTTAGCTCACATACATAGCATTCAACTTTTCTAGGAACCTAAGAAGAAGATTTAAGGTACACATTCTAGAATAATGAACACCAGCATTGAATTATTTTGCTGTTGTATACCTCATCAATTGGCCATTCTTTGACAGTTTATTCTTTGTCTCGCCTATTAATGTTGGTTTCTTTTAATTGCTGAGAACAGTTAATAAATATATACTGTTTTCACAACATCATTTGTGGCTGATATGTTGACTTGATCTCACAATGACAATAAAGCAATGGTTTTAGTGTATTACAACATAATTCACTTTTTGGTTTCTCAAGGGTACATCTTGGCTGGAAAGCTTGTATTTAGACTTAATGTTTGTTTCGTTGGGATTTGTCTATACCTCCTTAAATTGTTTTTCGTTCGTGGTTTTGATTTGTGTCTTGTTTCCTGAAGTCAAAATTCTGACTTTAAGAAGTCTTGTTTTGAATTACGACATTATTCCTTGAAGTCGTGTTAACATGACTTTGACCCTAAAGTCATGTTTTGAAAATACTTTTATGAAATAACACGGGTTTGAAAAATAAGTAAGTTGAACCCATTCGTGATTCGAAAATAAGAATCCGAACCATTTGTGTTTGGGAAAAAAACTCATATGAGAACACATTTTATTCTATTGTTAAGGGGGAAAAATTATACTCGCCGGGAGGGGGGAGCTGTTACACTGTGCCTGAACTTCTTAGAGTGGTATTATGGATATGAGAATGGATTTAAAAGAGTTACCTCATTTGAAATGTTCATTGAAGATTCAACAGTTGTTTGTTTTATGGAGTCATTTCTTGTTGAATTTTAGAAAGTTCTTGTAATCTGTCTTGGATTCAATTTGGGATTAGATCAAATCTGTTAGGAAACTTTATTTACTTGAAGGATTAGTATAATATGGATCATAGTAACTCATGATTGATATAGTTCAACTCATGACTGGACTGACTTTATTTGTAGTCTCTGCCTTTTTTCTGCTCTACTTGAGGCTTTATATTTAAAAAAAGGATCTAGATATTGGATACTCTGTGTTCTGATCTATTCCCCCTCATAATGTGTATTAATCAAGTGTAAGCTTGGATTTGAGGAACATATATCTCCATGGTAACAAATTGGAACTCGACCGGTACCTTGTACAGTGGTGAACACCAGCATTGTGGATTTTGACTTTACTATTTTATCTGGATTGTATTTGTTTCATAAAAGAATTTTTCCTAGTGTTTTTCTTTGTTTTTTGCGACGGAAAAATAGCGGTCGCCATAAGTATTTTAGGCGGTCGCAAATAATTTGAGACCGTTGTTTTGCCATCGCAAAAAGTATTTGTCACCCCCACATTTGCGACCTCCATTTGTCGTCACATGGCCCATTGCAAAAGGTCTTTTACGACTGTTTTTTATTATTTGCAATGGTTTATAGCGGTTGCAAAAAGTATTTTTTTTAGTAGCGATAAACTAAAAACTAAGTAGAACAACAGGAGAACAAGAATTAGAACAAGAACAAGACTAGTAGAAGATGTAGAAAGAAGAGGCCAAGGATTGAGCAAGATGAACAATTATGATACCCACAAAGGAAAATCGCCAAGGAATTTTTTAAAGTCCTCCCAAATGGAAATCGAACGACTGATACCCATTTTCCATCTTAACCGAAGTTGCAATGCATTATCCCCAAAAAGGATAGTCCACCATACCCAGGAACCAGAAGAAGTTGGAAAATATTGGGTTATGTAATGCTTCCTTGTGAAAAACTGGTAGAATATAGTTTTCCGGATAAAAGACGCATCCTCCAACTTTTGTTCACTAAAAGAGCTTGATTAAAAGTGTTAGTAAAAAATAGATATTCGGGTTACCTTATGTGAAAGAAATCACTCACTAATTAAGATCTCAAAATTTGAATTAGGAGCCTCCAATTGTAAATCCGTAGAGAGGCTACTAGTGTTTCTCTAGAAAAACTTACACTTCAAATTCCACGTACAGTAATGCTGACCTTAGAGGGACGAATAAACAGAAAAAATATTTGTTACAGATACTTTTTGAGATTTTTTTTTTATAGATATTTTTACAGATATTTTTTGAGAATATAGAGATAGTCCTGCAGATAAGTTGTGACATAGTCATACAACCACCATAATCGGGTCGAATATAACCCATGGAACATCCATTTGGATTATCTGACAAAAACCATCTTATTTAATTATTTCTTTATTTCTTCCTTTTCCTTCATTCTTTTTTCTTCTTTCCTTTTTCTTATTCATTCTTCTTCTTATCCCATGGTTGCTGCTCTCCGTTTCATTTTTTTTCTGTTTCGTTTTTGTTTTCCCTTTCCTTCTCCTTTTATTTTCTTACGGCTGCAACAACAACCTTTCCCTTTATTTTTATCATTTTCTTTACTATAAATTATGACAGTATTTCTTGTACTTTGATCATTGTATCATTTTATTTCTTATAATTTCAATTAACTTAATTTTGCTTTGAATTTAAGATTTTGTTTTAATTTGGTCTAATTGATTATAACTATTAATATTTTTTATATATAAAAAATATGCACAACAGTGGCATCCATGTGATATACTTCAATTATGGATAAACAATATATTATAAAATTGTTTAGATTTAAGAATTTATGAAAATCGTTCAAGGTTCTAAGAATTTACAAATTTGCTCAAAAATTGTGGCAAATTTGTATTTCATATATAAAAATATTTATCAATGAAAATTTTAATTTGTGAAATAGTTATATTTTAAAATAAAGAAAATCAGAATACATTCCTCTACATATTTATGTAAGAATTTGAGGACACCAAAAATTTGTTTGCTAGTTAAAATTCAAAGGATTTCAAATCTTAGAAGTATAAGGACCAAGTTTAACATGAATGGTCAAAACCAACATTATAGCCTAGAAACCCTACACAACACACACACGCGCGCGCGCGCGCGCACACACACACACACACTCTCTCTCTCTCTCTCTCCTTTTTTTTTTTAATATCTCTAGTGTTGCCTCTACCATGTTTATTAGTGTCACCTCAATGGCATCTACTACTATGACGCTCCAAAAATCGAGAATATCAGATAATATATTAACCATTAAATACTGAGTTTATCTAAGGTTACAAAAGTAGGAAACGTCACTAATGAATCCTTTGGTTAATAAACAAGAAAGATCCCAGGAAGGTCAGAGGAGTTAAAATAGCCTCCCTTCTAAGTCCAACCACCTTAGATAGCAAAGCTACCTTTTTGACAGATCTTGACAAGGTATTAACACAAGACCTAGATGAGTTGACGAAGTATGAGGATATGTTACAAATGTTATATATGTATACAAATTACAAAATCATGTCTTAAATACAATATGGGATCTATCACTTACAATCTCAAAACACGTTTAACATAACTAGTTCCTAACTCTCATAGGATAGCCATACGTCTTCAAATACCTAGCATAAAATGCTGTGAGCTTTGAACGCCCAGTAAATGCACACACACCCCGTCCCTTATTCCCAATCCAATACGCTATTACATTTATAACAAGCAAGTAATGAAGCATGATATTCAAGTCAATAACAAGGATTATAAGGTTAGATGTTAGTATTCTAGAAATCTCCCAAAGAGATTTCATCATTCCAGCCACAAGAATTGGACACTGGACTATTTGGAATTCCCCCTTTTGCTACTTTGTTGCAGAACTAACCTCGAATGTCTACCAACGGTTACATACTGATGATATTCAAGCCATTGGTCTTATTCTAATAATAGTGTTTTGAATCAAATTCCTCCCTAATTAATGACTAAGGAGATGCGCTAATCTCCTGCGCTTCTTGAACTGTTCACTATATGGGTAATGACGTTGTTGCTTCATTGTGAGGGCCTGTATTACCAATTTCATGATGTGGCGATCTACACTTTCCATTGTGTTTGTTGATTTATTGAATCATTCATCTATCCCCCTTAAATAATAAAAGCATTCTGTTGGATGGGTAGGTTATCTCCTTCTATTGGTAACTATCGATAATAGCTAAGGTACGTGTAATAATTCTATTTTTAAGATGAGGTCAGAGTAGGGTATCTTCATGTCTCAAGAATTGAAAATTAATCATACAAACATTTCCTAGTTACATCTTCCCTAAGTTAGTCATTAATCATATCCAGCCCTTTTCCCTTTAAATAGTCATCCTTGACTTCTTTCCGTATAATTTTTGTCCCTTTATATCTTGGGGTATGGTGTTGTATTCTTCTAGTTGCTCCTTTCTGGTCCCTCATGAAGTTGGGTTTCCTTTCCACAAGCTCCAAATCCTCTTGGATTCTACCTCCTCTCTTTTTGAAGTCAATGTTGTGTCAATTATTTCCACAAAGATGGCAAGACTCCTCCAAAATTTGATTCTTGATAGGGTTCGGGATTTTGGCCACAGTTACAAGTCCATTTTTAAGGTTTCAATTTCCTAGTACCGCATTCTTATTGTTGCTTGTGAGCTCATGTTATTACTTGTCTCGAAGTATGGTCCACCATTTGCCGTTCTAGTATAGGGTGAGGCATCAGTCAGATTCTAACTACAGAGGCAATTCCTTAACGAATCTTAAAGTTAGAGATTAATTATCCTAGGGTGTTCACACAACACAACTTCATATATATATAGGCAAAATAATAATTACAAGATTCTTAAAATTGGATTAATGGAAAGAATGCAAAGTGGAGATGAAGAATACGAAGTAGTTATGGTGGTAACATCAGGGTAAATACGGATGAATGGTATGATGTTTTGGTTTCGAACTTCAATGTGATCAAAGTTATAGAGGTAGTGACTAAACTAAATATTTAACTTCAAACTGCGTTGGCCATCCGCGTTTCAAACTGAATATCCAAGATTCAGCACCGAGTAAAGAAAACAAAATTATTTACAAGAAGCCTTGTGTTAAACAAAATAATCCAACCTCAAAGGAGGTCATGACTTAATCTTGGAAAAGGATAACAACGAATAAAGGTTACAATGACTTGTAGAACTAATAGTATCCCTACTGCGCGATGTGAGGCCTTGTCCAGAGTTAAAAGCACTTCCTGATCCTGAAATACGTCCTCATGAGTTGATGATGGTGTGCCTGAAATTCGAAGAAATTCCCTAAGATAGGTCAAGAAAATTTCTATTTTTTAATGTCTTTTAGTTGATAGAATAGGTAGTGTTATAATAATATAACATAGTCGGGGCAAGGTAGTCTCTAATCATAGGTCGAAACGCGTGGGTAAGGGTTGAACCTAGGCTCTGATACTAAGTTGTGACGCCCCAAAAATCAGGAATATTAGATAATATATTAACTATTAAATACAGGGTTTATCTAAGGTTACAAGAGTAGGAAACGTCACTAAT